TGAGGTGTGACTATTATTTGCATTTTCAGAACACTCAGATAAATATTTTACAGTCAACTTCTTTGACCACTGAAGAGCTTTTTATATTTTCTTTATTCATTTGATAATTTTTATTTTATCAACCATTTGCAGAATTACCTTGTAAAAAATTTGGTCTGGAAAATAAACTTAGAAATGTTTGACACATGAAATGTTTTGAAACTTGTGTTTCCTATCAATCTCTAAAAATTGGCAATATATATTACAGACACTCTGTCTCTTCTAAATATTAAATATATTTCTGTCTATTAGACTGTATGGGAGTGACTGGCCACCTAACCACATTGACCATTGTCTAATACAAGTTAGGCACAGATGGCTGATTTAGACAACATGCATGCCCACACACATTGTATATGTGTGCTTTGTGTTCTTATAGGGTTTTGCTGGGAAAAAAAGCTCTTGGTACTTAACCTCCTTGATCTTGAAAGAGTAGCAAAGAATTTACATTTGCTTTCACTGCTTATCATTTGCTATAGTTTGTTTTGTATCTTAGTATACTTCACGATTTTCATGTACTTCATTCTCAACTTCTTATACTACTTTTATGTTTTCATTTTGACTAATCAAATTGTTCCTAATTATAAATGGAAAGATTGATCCATTCTTCTGAATACAACAATTAGATTATATTTCTTCTCTAAGTTGGAAAATGAACAAACTAAGGAGTAAACATTTAAACGTGTAGTACAGCTAATGCCTCTGAACTTAATGTATAGAAAAAGACATAATGAAGCTGTCCTACTACTAGGTATGTCTTAGAAATATTAATTCTCAGAGGAAATCTTAACATTCATTCAACATTAAGGTAAGTGTTATTTATTTTTCCAGTGAAAATATTAAATATGTAATTTTTGTATCCCAGTCATATTTCTTCTAACTCAATAAGGTAGCAGATGGATATATTTATCACACACATTTATTATACAAAGCATTTAATATCATGGTTATACATTTTAGATTCTGAACCAGAATCTATGTATGTATGTGACTTCTAAAACTATATCTCAGATTCAAATATTTTGCTTACGTATCAATATTACCATTTTTTTCTTAAGAAATGCTAACTTATATGCTACAGAACTACAATGTCTTACCCAAGTGTTTGGTTTTTTCACTTGATACATTGAATTAATAATAAAGATATATTCATTTGAACAGAAAAATATGTCATCAGCAACTACATGTAGTACTTGATTAACTAATGGTAAACTATTTTAAAATATCTCTTCAAAATATGTTTGACTGTACCTTTTACAAATATCTAATATTTATTACAAATTTGTAATAAAATCACACACATTATTAAATCATATGTGGAGATATCCTGAAACCTGACTGTTCCATATCTTTTGATTAATTCCATTTATCTCAAATCCCTGAATTTAGTGCAAGGTATTTATTTCAGTAGTTTCAGTAAGTAAGCTCAAACATAGTTATCATTCTTATAGTATAGAGAGTTGTAAGGCAATTTCTCATTTTCCCTGCTTTGAGAATGAAATGAACTCAGAGCAGCCACTATTAGTTAACAGTGTTCCCTAAACTTCAGTTCATATACTACCCTCATAATTTTTGTCAGCCAAAGTGCCACCAGTACTATTTGAATTTTTTTAATCTACTGTAAGTTTTTAACATTTTTTTCTTAGGCAAAAACATCCATAAAATCATATTATATCTGGTTTTTTTTCCTGAAATTTTACTATAAATATATAACCATTAAAACTATTTCACTGTTCTCCATGCACTGCTGATGATTCCACCTTAGGGGAAGCTCTGACTTGGTAGATTGGAAATATGTATCCTTCTCATTATCCCTTTAGTTTGGGAGTGCTAATGGCAGGAGTCTTGACTGGCGTACAGATTGCTATGGGGGATGCAAGATGTGTACTTTCTCTTGAAAGATTAGCTCTAAGAATATGAACAGTTTTCGAGGAAGCATATAAAATAAAACTATAGAATAAGATTTTTTAAAATATACTTCTTTACACCCACATTTAAATATGTATTATCTTTTTTCTTAAATAATATTTAGCCCAATTTCCTCCTTTGCTTTCTGAAAAATATTTGAATTATTCTCCTATTAGTAGTCTACTCTTTGCCTACATATCCTTATGAAAAATTTACAGATTTTTTTTGTTTGTTTCAACATTATTTATTGAAAATAATTCTAACATGTATTTTCCTAAATGTGTAATTGCATATAATTTTGATAATTCAGTGCTGTCCAGTCCTTCATTGTTCTCTGGATATTAGTGATCTCTCTGCAGCTTGGACGATGGAAGCACCAATGGTCAAGAAGATTGAATGGCTTCTTTTGAATGAAGCTTGACTACTACCGCACACCATGCACAAAAACCAACTCAGAATGGATTAAAGAACTAGACATAAGACCTGAAACCATAAAATATATAGAAGGAAATAATAGGCAAAACACTACATGTAAAATTTAAAGATTTCAACCTTTATAATTTGTGTGAAAACTTGCTGCCTTGTTGTTTTGTTCCTGCAGCATACCCTTTCCTCTAATTGTGGGTGTTTTTTTTTATAGCTACCTAATAATAAATAGGGCCTCCCTGGTGACGCATGAGTTAAAGTCTTAGTGCTATCAAGCTATTGCCAGCCACTGAGGCCTGAATTCTATCCCTGCCAGGGAGTTGACACACGTAGGGTACAGCAGACCTCTCCTGTCTCGCCCCCTGCTCCCATCAGCAATGTATCTCAGTAGATCTGCCTTTTCTGCTCCCCAGTCTGTCTCTGGTGATTCCTCTTACACCCTGCATCTCTGGCCTACATCCCAGTTCTTTTATGCATTAATAAATAAAAATAAATCTCAAAAAAAATTTAAATAAATGATTAACAGATAGATCAGTCTTCTCTTTCCTCCTCCTAGTTTATTCAGTTAAACCCTTCTAGTTCACAAAAGCATGTTCTCTGGCCTTTATGTCTAAAAATAAGCAGAAATTATTATGTTACATATATAACAATAATTTGCATGATTCTATTTCCTGGAAATCCTCCTTTGTATGTCAGGTAAATTGAGAAATCCTCCTCTGTATGTCAGGTATGTTGAGAGGAAAATACACATAAATACATTTTATATTTTACAATAACTTCTGTTTTTATATACTTTGCCCTACTTAAAGAGCATTAATCATGTCTTTGTCATTTTAGCATTGTTTAGTCCATTTATTCTCAGCTACAAGAGACTGTTCTATTTGCAAAGATTAGTTGATGCTGCTGGTCTGTACTTAAATTACACAGTGGCTTCACTTTTTTACTTTAAATATTCTGATTTAGTAGTTATTCAGCTTAGTATGTATTTAACTCTTCATTTAGATACTGAAGAAAGTTAGTTCCTCTTGCCTTGAAAGAGTACAGGCTATAGTACAAAAAAGAAAGCCTTTAGAATCCATACTGATAAAGATTCAAATATCAGCTCTGGCATACACTATGTGATCGGCTAAATCATGTGAGCCTTAGCTACTTGCTTGTAAATGGAAGTGAGAATCACTGTTAATAATCACTACTATTTATTGTGTCCTGCCTTTATTCTGTACAGTATTAAATTTTTTATATGCAATTATTAACTTATTTAATTAGCACAAAAAGTCTGTGTCTTTGTTAGCACCATTTTAGATATAAGGAAACAAGAGGCTCAGTAACTTACTCAGGCTCAAACTAGAAGCAGAACTAAACATTGTATCCAAACCTGCTTCAGCTTTTCTCTGTACTCTATCTTGTCTGTACTGTATACACTGTAGTCTCTACCCTGTGCTCTGTCACTCAGGTATGCCCTGTATAAACCCATGCTCTGTACTCGCTACTCTGTTGTATGTATTCTGTATTGCATACTCTGGACTCTGCTCTATACTCTTATGCTCTATGCTATACTCTACACTTAGTATTCAATATACTGTGTATTCTGTACACTATATACCATAGGTAGGCTCTACTCTCTATACTGTATATTCTATACTATGCACTCTGTCCTTTGTGCTTTATACTTTATACTCTGTGTTCTATGCTGTACAAGCATGTCATTTAATGACAGGGATACTTTCTGAAGAAGGTGTCAAACAGTTTTGTCATTGTGCAAATATCATAGGGCATTCTTACACAAACCTAGGTGGTAAAGTCTACTACACACTTAGGCTGTAGGCTACGTGGTAGGTAGCCTATTGGGACACTGTAGAATAAGTAGGTTGTTCACTGAAACGTCATTAAGAGACATGACTGTATGCTGTACTCTATACTCTGTGCTCTATGCTCTATAGTCTGTACTCTGCACACTGTACTCTATGTAATATGCTCTGTATGCACTCTATACTCTGCGGTCTATAGTATATACTTTATACTGTATACTACCACCTTTCTTCCATTTGTTGTATTGGCTTCCCCAACAGCTTTGAGGTCTGAATCATCTAAATCAGCTTTATCAAAGGGAATATATCCCAGAGTCTTTGTGTTCATGTAATGTGTTTATATGAGTATAGATTATAGTATTAGCTATTTTTAAATCAAACTATTTTCATATCTTACAGCCACATGCCAAGTAAGCCTTTATGCATGCCATTATTTCTGTCCATCAGTCACTAGCTCTTCAGAGACAATAAAGTAGAACAAGCCTCTCTGGACCTTAGTTTCTTCATCTGGAAAATAAAGAACTTAGAGTGTTAGTTATCTGTAGGAATTCTTCTGGTTTTCAATTCTAATCTGCGAAATATAAATATATAATTATTTACCTAAAACTTCAGTTGAATCTAATACTCAATATCACACAAAAATGTTTTTTATACATAGGCATTATGGTATCAAACCCTGTGTTGTATTTACATAACTTGGAAATACTGCGTCACCTGATATGTGCTTCCACGTATAGGTACTTGGAAAAAGTGCATTTGACCTAGTGAATACCCTTCTTGGCTTATTAAAAAATTGAGTTTTTGCCTTTCTTTTATCAGATGTAACTACTCCTGGATCTCCAAAGAACACTGTAGAATCATCGGTGGTAAATGGAGGTTTAACATCACAAACAAAAGAAAATGGGTTAAGTGCAGAACAACAGGTGCCTGTACAGCGAAAGAAACTCCTCAAAGCCCCAACTCTGGCTGAACTGGACAGCTCTGACTCTGAGGTGAGGTTTCATTTCACAAATCTAGATGCCAACTTCAGGATGCCAATGCTGTTGCTTAAGAACTCAAGTTGTAAAATGAGCAAACTGATTTTTTCTTTTAGATTTACCCAGGAGCTTTGTGTGTTTAAATAGTTAAATACAAATTAAATAATAAGCATTATCTGCAAGCTGAAATAGCTATCTTTTGGAAGTTTCTAGTTGTTAAACTTAGTAGTGACCTAGAAACTTTATACTTTTTAGGCTTTTAGAAATAGTTACTAATCTGCCCTTTTACTAGAAATGGCAGAAAAACTTTTCTGATTAAATACTATTTTCCAACCTGATGCCTTTCATCACAGTAATTTGCCATATTTTATTTAACTCATCCCCTATTTTTGAACATTTAGGTTATTTCCATTTTCCTCCCATTATAAACAGCAATACTGTTGTGAATATAGTATGGTACATTTTTGTTTTGAATTGTTTCTCAGATTATTTCTAGAAGTATATCTGCTAGGTTAAAGAATATAAGCTATTAAAAGTGTTGAAACATATTGCCAGGAAAGCTATAATACCTCCTTTTTACAGAACTCTGTGCTATACTTTATGTATTATAAATTCATTTAAATGAATTTAAATGAATTGCTTTAAATTAATTAAAATACCTTAAAAATACCTATGATCCTTATGTAAAAGATAAGGAAACAATTACAGAAAAGCTTACTTTGAATTTAAACTGATAAAGAATCAGTGAGTGATTAGAGTTGGGTTTTAAGCCAAAGACTACATATCTCATAAACCTGCTAGTATTCTGCTAGTGGTATATGAGAATGTCTGATTTTAAAAATATTAAACTGGAAAGTATCTTAAAAATGTTTTCCAACATCATTAATTTTCAATGAAAAAACAGCCTCTAGTAAAGAAAGAATTTTTTTTAAAAATCATATAATTTTCTAGTAACAGAATCCCTGCTAAACTAAACCTCCCAATGACAGGCCATCTTTCTTTTTTCTTTTAGCCTTTAAACTTTAATATGCTAGATTGTGGCGTGAAGTCTTTTTATTCACATCAGAACTTTTTTCCATCACCCTTTTTTTCTCTTCCTAGAAATCTAGTTTCAGTGTCTCTGATTTATCTTCAATAATCTTTGCTTATCTAGTAACTTTTTTAAAATGAGGATAAGCTTTGATTATAGCCATAGGGAAGCTGAGCAAGGTTTCCCTTCTTCACTAGGCTTCCCTCTGAAAAGAAGTCCAGTGAAGGTCAGATACAGTGAGTTAGTTCTCAGACCGACCTCTGAGACAGTTCTTGCAGCCTTTGGTGGGAGTGCTTACCTTTGGAGCAAAGCAGCAGTAAAGAAGCAGCTGAATTTCTGAAAATGACCTCATTATAAGCAGGACCTGATTAAGAGTTACTGGTCACAACATGGGATTAGAAAAGGCCTAACTTAGTGAATGTCAGAGACAAGTGACTAAGAGCAATACAAAGAAGCAAATTTCAGAAACCAGGCCAGGCACTAGGAAAGACTTGATTGATACCCATAGATGTCAGAGATTCATCAAATTCTTCAGACAAGCAGAAAGTGTTATTCCATGGGAATAGACATGACAGGGCAAAGAGCAAACCAGAGCCCACATAAACACATTCTCATGGAAGATCTGACCTCTAAAAGTCCCCTGAGTGTTTTTTTGATTCTTCTGGGGCAGAAACTAACCATGGTGAAAATTAGTTTTCAAGTAGTCAGAAAATTGGGTGTGGCTACCTTAGGTGGGCATACATGAACAGAGGACCATCATAGCTTCTGGGAGCAAATCCCAGCAGACCCTGAATAGGGCCAGTGTCCCACCATTTCTGTCTCCTACTGACTCACTTCCCTTCCCCCAACCTGTCCCAGGACAGGCTTTTTACTGTTCACAGTGGAAACAGTTCAGATTAGTAAGCAGGAATATTATGGAAAGTGTGGACTTGTTTTCAGAGTTCTGCAAAATTAGTCGCTGAAAAATGTTTCTAGGGAGGTGGGCTTAAGTGTATGAGGCAGAGGAATAGTGTTTGCTGTCTAAGTCAAGATAGTACCCTCATAATTATTTGGGAAATACTGTGTGACTCCTTTTTTCTTTTCCTAATTGACGCTCTTGATTTTATTTCCTTTTGACCTTGTATAGGCAGATCATTCTAGTTGTTTGCTAGCTTTTCTGGAGATTGGTCTGCCCTACACCATTTCTGAAGTAGAGGCTTTACTTACTTTGCTTGATTTGTTTTCGTGTTAAATATCAAGAGTGTGGAGGTCACTGTTCAAACCTTCCTGTTTGAACTGTGTGCTTTACACAGCCTTTTTCTTCTGTTCTTTGACCAGATCCTTTGTATTCTAGCTTGTTTGAAATGAATGCTTTCAGCAGCAGGTTTTAGGTAAGGCCAGGTTTTAGTGAATAGCTAATTCTTCATGTCACCTTAACTAAGTAGGTCAGAGAGAATTTTCACTAATTTACATATTTATAGATTAACATTAATATAATTTTCTTTCTTTTGTATTTAAAAATATTCAGCCATTTTCTAGAAATATTGTGGAAATAAAATATCTCCTGTCACATAATAGATAGTAAATTATGTAAAATAAATTTTATATTTTTACTCATGTAAAAATACTGTATACCATTTTAGTATAGTCTAAAACAAAGATGATTTCTTCTCACTGGTAATAGGAATTTAAATCTCATTTAGCACAATGTAGATATTTTTCTCTACCCTTGTGGAGTTTCCAGTCTGCTGTTTTTATAAATGCATTAAATATCCCACTAATAATGATATTGATCACCATTTATTGTATACCAGTTAATATTGAGCATTTTGAATGCATTAGTTCATCTAATCCTTCTAATAACTCCAAGTAAAAAAATGGCATTATATACCATCTTTTATAAATAATTAAACTTGTGGAGTGTCGTTATCATCCAGGACACACCTAGGCATTCTAATTTTAAATCCCTTCTAGTTTCCCTTCTATTTGCTTTAAACATTTGACATTAGAATTTGTTTCCTTGTGTCAAAGTAAATATTTAATAGTAAAATATTATTAATTAGCATGTAAGAAAAATGTCTGAGGAATCTTTGAAGGTGTTTTTCTGCTCATATCCTTCTCAGGAGGAAACGCTGCACAAGTCAGCCAGCAGTAGCAGTGTGTCTCCCTCCTTCCTGGAGGACCCCTTACTGGAAGCTGTGTCCACTAGGAAGAGTAAGTATTTGTGGTGCAAAGAACTAGCTCCAGATACGGTAAAAAACACACTTGACCTAGAATAGGGAGTCCAAAATTGTCTTGTGATTGTTTGGAGTGGTGAGAGGTGAACTTGGAATTTCACCCTTCAGGGATGGAAATAATCAGTTATTTTCCTAGAATGACATCATCATGTAGACATAACCTGATAAGTGGGCCTCATACTCCTTTGGGTTTACAGATCATAAAGTAGAGAATAAGTAAACTATCTCTGTGTACATTTGAAAGTAACTACTTTCTTGTCTGAATTTAAACCAGATGCACAAACTAATCACTAATACACATACACATGTATACTTATATCCATTCCCCACAACCTGTGTAGGTAGTGAAAACACCTTTCTTAATCTTCATGCAGTGGGTTCTGTACACAGAACCTAAAGTTAAGTGATTTCTAAATACTTTTAGCAATTCTTTTCATTTATAAGATCTTATAAAGGATTAAAATTATATGTTAAGGGAGCAGATTCTAGGAAAATGTCAGAGATAAAGCACCCAGAATCTGTCTCCCTACCTAGACAACAGTAATACTGGCAGAATATGCCTGATGTAATTATTTTGGAACTCTGGAGTCTATTACAGGCTTACAACTTCTAGAGAAATACTTGGATAAATTTCATTAACCTTATTAATTTTATAAATTTCAATAATTTTATATCTAAATATAGTGAAAATTTCATTAATTTTATATCTATTAATACAGTGGCAGCCACTCATCCCCCAAGCCCAGCCACATGGCAGCAGCTGTATGCTACTACTGAAGCAGATTGTACATAGCTTTCACAGGCCAGAGTGGGTGAAAAGAACCTTGTTCTTCAAATATTGGGAATCTGTGCTGAAGGCTGCTTCTGGTTCCAAAGGTGTAGACAAAGAAACAAACAACTATTGTTGCATTCTTGCAAGCACCCATCTACTACCCCTAACTGAAGTGATATCCAGGGGAATTAAATGCCCACCAGTTTTTACTTTTTCACCTGGAAAAGTCAGCTATTAGGACATGAAAAACAGCAGCATATACAAAAATATTAGAAAAGCATCCAACTCCACCCACAATGTGGTAGAATAGGGAGGTTGGGTCAATCCTCTCCCCTTATAGACACAACTAAAAATAATAATAATAGTAAAACTAAACTAAAATTTGCATCAAGAAAATTTCAGATGTTTATCACCAGAGACAGGGGACTTTTTCACAGAAATTTCACTCTGAGATCAGTGATTGGCTTTGGGGACATCCCATTCTCATGGATTGGAAGACATTTTGTTTAAATGTCAGTGCTACCCAAAGTGATCTATAGATTCCATGCAACTCCTATCAAAATGACATTTTTTGTATAAATAGAAAAAAAAAAGTCCTAAAATTATATGGACTCTAAAGCAATTCATAATAAACAAAACAAAAATAATCTTCAAAAAGAACATAACTAGAGAATTCACACTTCCTGATTTCAAAACTTATTACAAAGCTATAATAATTAAAATGGTGTGGTATCAGCATGAGCAGCAGATAGGCCAATAAAACAGAATATAGAATACTGAATAAACTGTCACATATATGGTGAAATAACTTTTTATTTTATTTTTATTTTTTTATTTTTTACATCATTGTTCATTTTTTAACATTATTTTCTTCCCCTCTCCCCTTCAGGTGTAGTCCCCATAGAATTTCTTTCACCAGTGCACCCATGCACCATCACCACAGTCGCCTGTGCTCCTGCCTCCCTCCCTCTGATCCCTCTTCTTCCTCCTTCCCTGCAGGATGTCTCTGATTTATAATTGTCTGTTTTTGTTTTGTTGTGTTTTGTATTATTATTCTTTTTTTACACTAATGTCTTATTTGGTTCCCCTATATTCCAGCTATAAGTGAAACCATTTTTCCTTTTCCTACTGCTTTATTTCACTGTGCATAATTCCTTCTAGCTCCATCCATGTTGCTGCAAATAGCATGAGTTGATCTTTTTTGATTGCTGAATAGTATTCCATTATGTATATATACCACATCATCTTGATCCAGTCATCTATTTTTGGGCATTTGGGTTGTTTCCAGGTTTTATATGGTGAAATAATTTTTGACAAATATGCCAAGATCATTCATTCAGTGGGGAAAGAACAGTCTTTTTCAATTAATATTGCTGGAAAAACTAGATTTCCACAGGCATAAGAATGAAGTTATGTCCTTATCCAATACCATATATAAAAATTAACTCATGATGGGGCCTCCCCGGTGGCGCAGCGGTTGAGCGCTGGGTTGCGAAGCTGCCCACGATATCTGTGGTGCCGGTTCGATCCCCGGCTGCTCCCCAGCCACCGGAGGAGGGTCCCACATGGCGCGCAGACCTCTCCTGCCGCCCGCTGCTCCCCTCAGCAGTGTACTTCGGTCCTTCTGCCTGCTCTGCACCCCGCTCTGGCTCTGGTGAATTCTCTCACCCTCCCGCGCTTCTGACTGTACCCAGTGCATGTATAAACAAACAAACAAACAAATAAATAAATAAATAAATAAATAAATAACATGCCTCTATAAAAAAAAAAAAAATTAACTCATGATGGATCAAAGACCTAAATATAAGGCCTAAAATAATAAAACTCTTAGAAGGACATAGAGAACAAAAGCTTCATGACATTGAATTTGGCAGTGATTTTTTTGGATATGATATCACAGGCGCACCATAGCAAAAGAAAAAAAATAGGGAAATAGGAGTTAATGGAAATTTAAAAGTGTTTTTATATCAAAAGGTACTATCAAGTTGCAGCCAAGAGAATGGGAGAAAATATTTAGAAATCATGTTTGATTAGGAATTAATATCCAGAATATATAGAGAAATCCTGAAGTGCAACAACAAAAAGACAACCCAATTCAAAAATGGGCAAAAGTTTAAATAGACATTTCTCCAAAGAAGATATAAATAGCTACCACGCACATAAAATTACTCTTAGCATAATTAATCATCAGGGAAACACAAATCAAAACTACAATGAGGTACCACCTCAAACTTACTAGAATGGCTACTATTAAGAAAATAAATCAGGCCATTTTGTGGACCTTGGTAAGTGAAAGCTTCTGAGGGAGTCCAAAGAGAAAATATTGGGTTGTCAAAAAAGTCATGATGCATTTTTGCATAGAAAACGTAAAAAAATTACATCATGACTTTTCCAGCAACCCAATATATTAGAAGAAATGCATGGTGATTTCCTGTCCCTGGGACTGTAAGGTTTGTGTAGGTAATCTTGGAAACAGTGGTAACAAGACTGAATTGGAACAAGCTTTTGGCTATTATGGACCACTCCAAAGTGTGGGGTTGCTAGAAACCCTCCTAGCTTTGCTTTTGTTGAATTTGAAGATCCCTGAGGTGCAGCCGATACTATCTGAGCACTAGATGGGAGAACACTGTGTGGCTGCATGTAAGAGTGGAATGGTCAAATGGTGAAAAGAGAGGTAGAAATTGTGGTCCACCTCCTTGGGGTTGATGCCTTAAGACGATGATTGGAGAAGGAGTCATCTTCCTCACCACAGCTCTCCAGAAGGAGAAGCTTCTCCTGCAACCATAGCAGGCCCTGTTCTAGAGACAAAAGAGAGAGATTACTGTCTCGGGAGAGAAATCACAAGCCTTCCTGATCCTTCTCTAGGTCTCGTAGCTCATCTAGGTCAAATGAAAGGAAATAGAAGTTTGCAAGAGGAGCGGTGTACAGGAAATAGCATCATTTAGCAGGAGTATTTACAGAAAATTCAGGTTTTGTTTCAGACTTCGTAAGATCGGTGTATTTTTAACTTGTTTTAGCTGTTCACATTTGTTTCTCTCTCAGGACAGTAACAATAAAAGAAATAATTCTCCCTGTTTTGGAATGGATCATATGAAACATACCATTTGCTGCAACATGGGTGGACCTGGAAGGGTTAAACTAAGTGAAATAAGTCAGAACCATAGATATGGTTTCACTTATATGGGGAATATAGAGAAACCGGACATAAGTTCAAAGGCATATCTTGAAAGCTAACCATAGATCTGAGGCATCCAGAGAGGGGTGGGGGAGAAAAAGCAGGTTAAAAGCAGGAGGGGCATAGTGATGTGATGAGGGGGCAGCAAAGGGAAGGGGATGTGATGAGGTGGGAGCAAAGGGAAGAGGAGGGTCTAGTGGAGGATTGCTGGGGCTTTTTTAAAAGGTGGTAGGTGTGGTGAAATAACGTACAACTGTAGAGGTGTAAACCTATACCCTTAAGGCATATACTGTGATGTAAATCAACATTACCTCAATAACTTATAATTTAAAAAAAGAATTTTTACTTTGAAGTGTTCCCATAAAAAAAATGGAATGTGCTTTGAACTTTATTTAATCTTACATAGGCTAATAATAAACCTGTAAATTCAGCCTCTCTAAAAAGTATGAATATTATTATGTTAATATTATTATTAAGTTAATATTATGGAAACACAACTGGCAAAAATTGAATCAAGACTTTCTTTTTCTATAGCGAAGATAAGTTTGCAGCTGTAGTTGAACAGTCTTTAAAAGCTGCTGTGAACTGTACCATAAAAGCTAGTTAGAGCGTTATCTTATTTTAACATTCACATTCAATAGTGAATGCCCAGTTGGTATAGAAAATTAAAAATTTTCAAGAAAATTAGTTCACTTTTGCTTTCAGTCGTAAGTTCCTTATGTGATTACTGTGTATCAGTGCATAGCTCTTCATAACATTCTTTATTTGGAAATTTGAGACAATTCAAGATCCCGCTGCTCCCCTCAGCAGTGTACTTCGGTCTTTCTGCCTATTCTGCTCCCCACTCTGGCTCTGGTGAATTCTCTCACCCTCCTGCGCTTCTGACTGTACCCAGTGCTTGTATAAATAAATAAACACATCTTTAAGAAGAAAAAAAAGAGGTTTTCTGTTTAAAAAAAATAAAATAAAAACAACTCTGTCCCAACTTATCACTAGGCAGAGGAGAGAGTGGTACAATATTAACATCACAGCTGGAAATTTACTTTTTGATAAATACAGTTTGCTTTAAACCTAAGGATAAAGTGTCTTGATAAGTATCACGAAGGAAGAATTTTCATATTTTATATTTTATCTCTTAAAAAGACTATAAATAAGGAGAGTACACTTGAGAATTTTGGTATGATTTGGGAGTCTTCTTGACCACAGAGAATATAAATTATTACATATTTTTACAATATTTCCTGAGACTTTTATTGCAAAATTCTGAGGAAAGTAGCATGGGGATTTTAATATGTACAAATATGAGACAATGTATTTATATTGTGTTTTATATGATAATTTGAATGGATATTAATAACAGAATATTTTCCCTTTTCCTTGCTATTTCTATAGCAACTTACTTTGATAATTTGAATGGATATTAATAACAGAATATTTTCCCTTTTCCTTGCTATTTCTATAGAGCAACTTACCTTGCAGACATTATACTATAACAGTCCTCACAGTCTTATCCTAAGAACCTCCAATATAAATATACCTGTCCAATGTAACAAATACTTCATTCTTGAATGTAGTGTTTGTCACAAATAACAAATGCTTTTTTTATTGGAAATTCAAAATGTAAGATTTTAATTTTGTAAGAAAGTTTATTTCAATTTGGCTAATTTCATTTCTTTAGAACCTCCAAAATTCTTGCCCATATCATCAACACCCCAGCCAGAGAGACGGCAGCCACCACAGAGACGACATTCCATTGAAAAGGAAACACCTACTAATGTGAGACAGTTTCTGCCACCATCCAAGCAAAACTCCCGATCTCTTGTAAGTAACTGAAAAATTGTACAATAATGTAATTAGTTTTCTTGGGGCAATGATGAGAAAAAAAATTTTTTCCAAAGGTTAAAATGAAATTTAAATAACCTCATTCATTTCGTTTTAATAGCTGAAGAAAACCAACTCTAACAGTGACATGGTGAAATTTGACCATTCTTTGTTCATTTAAAGTACTTTTTTATTTTAGAAGTCTTAGCAATGGTAGAAGATAGAGATTATTATTTCCATCTTCCTTTCAAAAGGTATTAATGCATTTGAGAGTTAATACTAATTTCAAAAACTTAGCAGATCTTACTGTAATAGACTGTTTTATTGAGGAAGAAAAACAAATGCAGAATTTTGAACCATTAAACCATATTGTTTTCAAGTATGCTCATGATATTGGGGCCAAAACCACTATTTGGATTGGTTGACAGTTTTTGCTATTTTCCAGAAACTTCCAGATTCATGTAGTGGTTACTCATTCCTCCGGACAGTGGGATATAGTACACAAGGCCCTGCCAGGAAGAAGTAATAGGTCTACCAGCCAAGGAGGTCTGAAAAGAATCTTTGTAGTCTCACTTGGCTTCAGAAATATTTGCAAGCAAGATACAAGACCTCAGTCAGTAATTCTGCCAGTAACCTAATAATGTTTTTGCAGATACTCATGAATATAAAGCACTAAAATATGTTTAGTCCATAGTTTTATGCTGTGATCCGTCATCAAGTGTTCAAGCAAAGCAATAACAAGATGTTCCTCCTGCAGCCCAGTGAAAGATACTATGGTTATTGTGGAGGTACTGAGTTTGAACAGAACTTTCAATGTTCAAATTTGGTCAGTCATCTCTATTCCCAAATAATATCATTAAAGAACTAATGGTTTTAGGGCAATTCTTCATAGGATTCCTTTATAGCACCTAAAATAATCACCCAAATATTTATATGTGACTAAATATAACCTTATCAGTGATTGACCAACAGAAAAATAACTCCAATCTTTAAAATAGTTTTTTTCAGAATACTAATATATGTAAGAGGAAGCGCTTGTGATTTTTTTTTCACAATTTCAATAATTTAGGAAGCTGTTCTCTCCACACAGGTTTTTCTAAAAACCAGTTTATCATCTAACTCTGTACTTGGCCGTGTTGTCATAGGAACTGTCAGATGAACTACAAAGAAACTGCAGCTGGTAGTAAAAGTTTTACTATGAAAGACCATCAGCCCACATCAAGGACCCATCAAGTATATTTCCTGGTCAGGCTGTGAGTTTATTGTAGAGGAGAACAAGATAAACTAATGTGCAGTCAGGAGAAAGGTACCAGTGAAAAGGCAGTGTGAGAGCCCCTCTGGTCAGCATTGGATGGTGTTGAGGTCCCCTGTGGATCTTGTGCTTTCTCGAAATTCCTTGTGGCACCAGCTGAGGCAGAATCATCCAAGTCAAAGTAATGACTTTTCTTGTTAGTCACTTACCTTGTAAAATCAAAAAAAAAAAATCACGTTTCTCTTGTGATAGTGTCCTCTACCTTGGTAAGTATTGTTTGTTGTTGTTAAGTATGATAATTAAAAATTTTAGCTACCTTGTGTTTATTTTAAAGATTTATTTATTCACCCATACAAGAACAGGATACAGGCCAGATGTGCTGGAGGGTAAGAGGATTCACCAGAGACAGAGTAGGGAACACTACAGGCAGTCTGACTGAAAAACACTGCTGAGGGAAGGAGCAGGGGAGACCGGAGAGGTCTGCTGTGCCATGTGGGTATCTTGCCTGTGAGTCAGGATCTAACTGGCGCTGTAGAGGCTGCGGACAGCTTCACAGAGCTGCACTCAACCGCCTGTGCCACCGAGGAGGCCCTTAGCTATCTTTTAGATAAAAGCCATCATTTTGTATTTATAACCCCTCCATTGAAAATGGTAAAAATGTCTTTGTTAATTCATTTTCATTTTTATTGTGTTTCCCTCTCTTTTTTTAGGATGTTTAAAATGTAATTTTTTTTCATCATTTCATCAAATGAATGAAGGTCATTGCCCATCTAAGTGTGAAAGGAGACTTGTCTTTACCTTACCTACCTTCTGGGGAGTGAGCGTCAAGCAGCTGCTTGGTATTTATTTCCAAGTTGCCTGTGGCCCCATTTAGGAGATTTGGTTGTTCATAGGGCAACCAATTTAGAAAAACTTAATTAAGTCTTTTCTCCGTGAGTTCTGAGATACTCTAGGAATCACTTCATGGTTTAATCACTAATTTATGCATATGGATGCAGATATTGGCATAGACACACAGAGAATCTACCATGTCCTTCAAGGTGTTTCTGTTTTGTTTATTTTTCTTTTATGTTCTGTAATCATTGTTTGTAGGTCACTCATGTTCAGCATTATTTTCTCCTTTTTCTTTTCCCCATGCCATTTTCTTTTTTCCTTATCTATTGTTCAGGTTCCTAGGATAACCAGTGTATGGCCAAGGACACCTTTTCGACCACTTTTTTCTACCATACAAACAGCTTCTCTGCTCAGCTCTCATCCTTTTGAAGCAGCCATGTTTGGGGTAGCAGGGGCTATGTATTATCTCTGTGAAAGAGCTTTTACCAGCAGGTGGAAATCCTCAAAGGTTGGCGTCTTTCTGCTGGTTCTGGGAATTATTTCACTCTATTCCTTTGACAGTGATACCTCAACTACTGCACTCTGCAAGAATTAACAGCTTAGATGGGCACTTTGCTTCTGATTGTTGATTCCAATCTTTGGTAGGATGCATAGATCACACCATGATCTCAATTGAGAGGAAAATTACTTTGAAAGGACAACAAACTCAAAATGCAGCATCAGATTAGAGGTATCTGTGTTTGTCTCTTTGAATGACCTCACTATACAGCAGGAGGAATATTCTCTCCTCCATGTACAGGGGAACTCTCAGTGCCCATGGGATGCTTTCTTCCCAGGACCTCCCTGCCATCAGAAGAGCATTTGTTTGCTCACTCCGCTGGCAGAGCAGCCTCCTGCCAGGCCAGATAGACACTGGAGACTGACTCTGCAGTTCACTGAACCCTGCCACTTCCCATTTCCTTGCACACCCCACCCCTCGTTCCAGTGGGCAATCCATAACCTCCCCAGTGCTCAGAAAATCATTTTCTTCCTTAGCGTCTTTCTTCAAGCTGCTTTGTGATGGTCAGGATAGTGTATGGTTTTATGACAACCCATTTCTGTGTAGAGAATTTTTTTCAGCAACAAAACAACAAAGATTTATTTTAATGTGTGAAACAGCATGTACAGAGAAATTTTGTTTTCTACGCATGTATTACTCAAAACATTTTAAATAATTCTGCATTTTACTCTCTTGAGATTTTATCTAGAATATATTTTTTAAAGAAAGTGTAGTAACTTCCAAACCTTAGTGAAATAAAACATCCTCAGACCATAGTGAAGCTTACCTTGCTCCCAGTGTGACGCAGTGACTGCTTTGCCTGTTGTGACTCATGCAGGATACTGGCTGTCCAGGTCCTTGATTAACTTAAACATTCTTGATGAATGAATAGAACTTGAAACCAGCAGATGGTTTTCTTGTTACTCTTTATATTACCTATCATGGTTTAGAAAAGAGACTCAGAATGTAAATGAAACACAGATTCTTTTGTTTGTCATGAAATACTGGATAAATCTCTATTCTTTTTCCCATTTTAGATACAGCTATTTGGGTAGTACGTGAGCAAGATTTCACCCCTGTCACTCCTACAGCTGCCACTGCAGATCTGTCTACACTTTTATTTTTATTATCAATCTTCCCCAAACAGATACTTGAATACTAACTCCTCACACTACTTTAAGCAAAGAATTCATTTTGAGTTTTAAAGTTCAACTTGGAAAAAAAAAGAATAATTAATAGTTGCAATTTTTCTTTACAACCGCATTTCTTTGGTTTCTTACTCAAAAGACAATGGTTTTGGATAATTTTCAAATATCTGCTATTTATGTTTTTTTTTTTGCTAGTCAGGAACACTGTAAAGTAAGTTCTAAAAGAATATTTGCTTCTATATATTGTAATCTTTATTAAAACTTTTAAGACTTTAGCCTCCCTTTCCTAAATTTCGGAGTCACGTTGAAACAAGTAAAGCACGGGAATTAGAGTTGTGCTCTTTGGTTCTCAGGTTCAGGTCTAGTCATGAACATGAGCTTTAGTGCTTTTTTACATTTGGAGCATTAAGATCTCAGCAAGATTTATTAAGGTTTAATTTGGCCTGGGGGATATTCAATTACTGCTTTTTTCCAACTGGAAAAAAAATAACAAAACTAATACTAGTAATTATCATTTTCCTTCATGTTGCATTAAAGTTTTGTTGTCCTTGGGAAAACTCCAGAATCAGAACATTAGCATTTGACCTGATGGAAATTATTTTACTAAAGGGTAATCTTGAAATTCCAAAGAACAAGAAACAAAGAAATCCACAATTATTTATTATATTCTGTGAAGTACTAAATTTGTGTATAATTCAAACAGTAAGTTGAAAGTATGCTTAACTAAGCCCCTTTGTGACTTGAGACTGAGGAAAAGGAAGTACAAGCTACAGGTGTATTATGTGTGCCAGCACATTGCTGTGAATGAAAGGATTCCTGTCTACCTGAAGTGTTTACCAGCCAGGCATCCTCATTGTAAAGTTAATTAAATTGACACTATTTGCCATCTTGCTGGCATGTAGAACAACAAGTCTTAGGTAGTTATTATCTGGTTACTTGCTAGATCTTTATCTTATTTTGTTACAGTTCAGCAATTATGTCAGATTGTTAGCCATTAGAAAATGTACCCATCATACACATCACTTATGAAGAAAAACAACTAGGAAAACTTACAAAAAATGTTAAAAGCTGAGGAAAGCCATCATTCAGATGTGTGCAACCAATAACACTTAGCACACAATTTAATGGTCTAAACTTCAAAAAGGCAATGCTTTATTCTCACTTGCTGCTATGCTCTTTTCCTAGGGTGGAGCAAAACAGAGTAGATATTGGACCTACTGATTTAATCCTGTTATCTACAAAAGAAAATTATGTGATTACTTAGAAAATATCTTAGTCATCTTAGAGCAAATGATAAAACTTTTATATAAAAAAAAAAACTATCCCCATGCCACTAAATATGAAGCCCTCTCTTAAAAATTTAATTGCATGATTTTTTTCCCAATTCATTTTAAAGCAAAGTTAATGTTCCCAAAGTTAACATGAATAGAGAAGATTTTGTATTGATACTAAGAAACTTAATTTTTCAAGCTACTTTTTTTTAGTAAATGCTAATGTTTGTTAAGTTTGCAGCCTAGATTTGTTTTTGTTTTTCTCTGATGGAAAGACAGAACTGAATGTTAAAATTCCATAACTGACTGCATTTGTGGTCATGTGCTTTCTCATTTGGCTTGTTTAATTCCAGAGTGACTGTGAGCCCGTGCTATTATGTATGTGTGGGAATGAAATAATGGGTTTGTACTGAGAACATTGAGTTTCAGTGTCACTACATCACAATGGTCCTTGTGAAGCCTGGCAGGGTGCAAATGCACAAGCCTGTTCTGTCTTTCTATTAGATCCACCAATCAAGCTCAGGGCTGGATGGGGAACAGATGGGTGTGACGCTCTTTATTCAGTGGGATCAGTTACATCAACATCTTCCTCAGCTGTTTTTAGGGAAACCATTAACCTAAGACAGCCAACATAAATATTTATTGTGAAATTCTTCTTAGTTTTTCCACATTTTCCAGTGCTGACTCTGCATTTAGTTGTTGAAAAGGAGTATCAAATCTGAAGAACTGCAGGGCAGTCTGTAGAGTCTGCCTTTTGGCTGTCTACTGCATCAGTAGTTACATGTTCTGTTCCACTCATACCATTAGGATTTTTTAAGGTATGCTGATGTAACTAACCACTAAATAATGCTTCTCAGTATAAGTTGCTAACCACCTTCTTTTGGCTATTCTGGGAACCACACCAGTTTTAAAACCAGTATCAATGTCATAAATTTTCTACTTATTAGCATATAATAAAAAAACACAACATTAAATAATGTCTTTGCATAATCATAGGAGAAAACTGACAAATTTTGTTTAGAATGACAAAATATTTTCAGGATTTTGGTGCATTGATACAGAGCAGATAAATACTTGAGATAAAATGTCTAAACAAATGTGAGGAACTTTCATTTCTTAAAATTTCAAAATCCTGCAATGATTCACATGATCCCCAGAAGTTTTCTACCATCTATTGTCTTAATGTAATTAGAAATTGTGGTCCCCAGAGTGAGCCAGCTCTGTTCCAGTATTCATTGAGAAACCCATTTTCTTCTCCGAAGCTACTAACCAGGTGTCTGATCTGAAATTTTAGTGTCAGAAAAAGGGGTGGAAGCTTCCTATTCATGTGAAATTTTGAATTTCAGGAGGAGTTCTGCTACCCAGTGGAGTGTCTAGCTCTGACTGTTGAGGAAGTGATGCATATTCGCCAGGTCCTGGTGAAGGCAGAGCTGGAAAAATATCAACAGTATAAAGATGTCTACACTGCCCTGAAAAAAGGAAAGGTAGAGCTGTTTCAAGTTGACCTACTGGCAGGGTTAGAAGAAAGGCCATTCGTAGCGTGATCTCCTGAGGGAACTGCCTACCAACCAGGTGGCACAAGACTGGGAGGGGAGTCTGGTTGGTTAAGAGGCTTATTCTCCAGTAAACATTCTGCCTTGCTCAAAAAAGGAGTATTTTTGTTTCTCCCTTAAAAATCAAAAACTGTGGAAGGTTTAAATGGCATGCCTTCATAAAACCATCTCTGCATTTAGTCATACTTTTAGAAGATTTGTAAAGAAAGTGTATATGAGAAACAGAGGAGACTTTCAGATTGTTTCTATAATGGTGAGACTCTTGAGTTCCTTTTATTACCTTTGAAAAATAGGATTATAATTAATTAAAGAGCCAAATAATAGTCACAAAGCCAAACATAAAAAATGGGGTTTCTGAATTATTTTCTTCCTTCTATTAAACTTCCCCAGTATATAAAGCATATTCATACATGTAAATTAGGAAATTAATTATGGGCAATGCCTTTTTTTGCCTTTTGAATTTGTATTTTTTAGCTCTGCTTCTGTTGCCGAACTAAGAGATTTTCTTTCTTCACCTGGTCTTACACATGTCAGTTCTGTAAGAGGTAAGGTATGGTTTTGTAATTGACAAAAAGAGAGATTTAACAATAGTTAAGAAAATACCAATTACCATCATTGTTTTATTTTTCTACACAGGAACAATATTTCAAAAACCCAATTTATTATCACATTGTGCTATGCTTTGTTAGAAATACTGAATTCTTCAAAAGAGTAGAACAAATAATTACTTTTTTTTCTTTTGAACATGTTTAATATATACTTTTTCTAAATAAATTTTATTTTTATATTTCCCATACAATTGCAACCCCCTTATTTTGACCCCAATCCCTCCCCTCCCCGCCCCCCACCTCCCATAGAGTGTCTCTGGTTCATAGTTGTTTATTGATTTTGATTTTCACTTTCTTATAGTTATTCATTTTCCTGGTCCCTTATTTAAGTTTTCTAGATTCCTGCTATGAGTGAGACCATCCGGTATTTTTCTTTTTCTTTCTGGCTTATTTCGCTGAGCATGATCCCTTCCAGCGCCATCCATGTTGCTGCAAATTGCATGTGTTTATCTTTTTTGAATGCTGAGTAATATTCCATGGTGTATATGTACCACATATTCTTGATCCGTCATCTAGTTTTGGGCATTTGGGCTGTTTCCAAAGCTTAGCTATTGTAAACAGTGCTGCTATACACATAGGGGTGCAGGTGCTGTTTGGAATTGATGTTTCTGTGTCCTTTGGGTAAATACCTACGAGTGGAATTGCTGGATCATATGGAAGCTCTATGTTTAGTAGGTCCAGAAATCTCCACACAGCTCTCCATAGTGGTTGGACCAGTTTGCACTCCCACCAACAGTGCAGGAGAGTTCCTTTTTCTCCACATCCTCGCCAACATTTGTTGTGCTAGTTTTTTTAATATGTGCCATTCTCACTGGTGTAAGATGGTATCTCATGGTAGTTTTGATTTGCATTTCCCTGATTACAAGTGATGTTGAACATTTTTTCATTTGCCTGTTGGCCATTTGCATTTCCTCTTCAGAGAAGTTTCTTTTTAGCTCTTCTGCCCATTTTTTGACAAGATTATTTTCTTTGTTGTTGTTGAGTCTCATCAGCTCTTTGCAGATTTTTGTGATCAGTCCTTTATCATTAGTGTTGGGTGCAAAAATGTTCTCCCAGTTGGTGGGGTTTCTCTTTGTTTTTGTTATTGTCTCTTTTGCTGTGCAGAAGCTCTTTAATTTGATGTAGTCCCAGCTGTTTGTTTTTGCCTTCACTATCATTGCTTTGGGTGATGTGTCTCTAAACATGTCTTTGATGTACATATCACGTAGTGTTTCACCTATATTTCCTTCTAAGTATTTTATGGTTTCAGGTCTTATGTCTAGTTCTTTAATTCATTTTGAGTTGATTTTTGTGTATGGTGTGAGGTAGTGGTCAAGCTTCATTCTTTTGCATGTAGTGACCCAGTTTTCCCAGCACCATTTATTGAACAAACTTTCTTTGCTCCAATGCATATTCTTTGCACCTTTGTCAAAGATTAGTTGACCATAAATCTATGGGTTTATTCTGGATTTTCTATTTGATTCCATTGGTCTGTGTGTCTGTTCTTGTTCCAATACCATGCAGTTTTGATGATTATGGCTTTGTAGTATAGTTTGAAGTCTGGGAGTTTGATGTCTCCATTCCCTTCTTTTTTTTTGTTTCAGGAGAGCTTTGGTTATTGGGTGTTTTTGATGATTCCATATAAATTTCATCAATAATTGTTCTATTTCTTTGAAGAATGACATTGAAATTTTGATTGGAATAGCATTGAATCTGTATGTTGCTTTTGGTAGGATGGCCATTTTGATAATGTTTATTCTTCCAACCCATGAGCAGGGGATTTCTTTCCATTTCTTTATGTCTTCTTCTATTTCTTTTAACAGTGTTTTATAGTTTTCTTTGTATAGGTCCTTTACCTCTTTTGTTAGATTTATTCCGAAGTATTTGCTTTTTTTTGTTTCGATTATAAAAGGGATGGTTTTTTTGATTTTTTTCTTCAGATTTATTGTTTGTGTATGGGAAGGCTACTGACTTTTGCGTGTTGATTTTGTATCCTGCCACTTTACTGAACTGATTGATGAGTTGAATTAGTTTTTCTGTGGAGTTTTTGGGGTTCTCTATGTTTATTATCATATCATCTGCAAATAGTGATAGTTTGACTTCTTCTTTTCCTATTTGGATTCCTTGTATATCTTTCTCTTGTCTTATTGCTCTGGCTAGGACTTCCAGTATTATATTGAAAAGCAGTGGTGAGAGTGGACATCCTTGTCTTGTTCCAGATCTTAATGGAAATGCTTTCAGCTTTTCACCATTGAGAATGATACTGGCTGTTGGCTTGTCATATATGGCCTTTATGATGTTCAGGTATGTTCCTTGTATCCCAAGAATTTCAAGGGCTTTTATCATGAATGGGTGTTGCACTTTGTTGAAAGCTTTCTCAGCATCAATTGATATTATCATATGGTTTTTATATTTCTTTTTGTTCATGTGTTGGATGACATTGATTGATTTTTGGACATTGAACCATCCTTGTGACCCTGGCATGAATCCTACTTGGTCGTGGTGAATTATCTTATGGATACATTGTTGGATTCTGGTAGCTAAAATTTTATTGAGGATTTTTGCATCCGTGTTCATTAGGGAGATTGGCCTGTAGTTTTCTTTTTTTGTGTTGTCCTTGTTCTGTTTTGGTATCAGTGTAATGTTTGCTTCATAGAACATGTTTAGTATTATCCCTTCCTTCTCAATTTTTTGGAAGAGTTTGTGAAGGATAGGCACTAATTCGTCTCTGAATGTTTGGTAGAATTCATTTGTAAATCCATCAGGTCCTGGGCTTTTGTTTTTGGGGAGGTTTTTGATTACCATTTCAATTTCGCTGCTTGTAATTGGTCTGTTTAGGTGTTCTATTTCTTCTTTATCTAGCTTTGGGTCATTGTAGAGTTGTAGGAATTTGTCCATCTCCTCTAGATTGTTGAATTTGTTTCCATATAACTGTTCATAGTAGTTAGTGATTATTCTTTTGATTTCTACTGTGTCTGTTGTGATTTCTCCTCTTTCATTCATGATCCTGTTTATTTGTGCTTACTCCCTTTTTTCCTTTGTGAGCCTGGCTAGGGGTTTGTCTATTTTATTGATTTTTTTTTTCGAAGAACCAGCTCTTGGTTTCATTGATCTTTTAGATTGTTTTTTTAGTTTCAATTTCATTTATTTCTGCTTTGGTTTTTATTATGTCTTTTCTTCTACTGGTTTTGGGGTTTTTTTGTTGTTGTTCTTTTTCTAGATCTTTGAGCTTTGAGATTAGGTTGTTTCTTTGAGTTCTTTCTTGTTTCTTGATGTGAGCCTCTATTGCTATATATTTTCCTCTTATTACTGCTTTTGCTGCATCCCATACATTTAGGAAATTGGTGTCCTCCTTGTCATTCAATTCAAAGAATTTTTTAATATTCTTTGATCTCCTCATTAGTCCAGTGATCTTCCAGTAGTGTGGTATTCAATCTTCATGAGGTAGGAGAGTTTCTTGCCTTCTTTTTATGGTTTATTTCTAGTTTGATGCCTTCATGGTCAGAAAAGATGGTTGGTATGATTTCAATCTTGGTGTATCTGTTGATGTTTGTCTTGTGCCCCAGTATGTGATCGATCCTGGAGAATGATCCGTGTGCGCTTGAGAAAAATGTGTAAGCCGATTTTTTGGGGTTTAGTGTTCTATAGATGTCTGTTAAGCCCAAGCACTCTAAATCCTTATTTAGAGCTTTAGTGTCTTTACTTATTTTTTGTCTCATTGATCTATTCATTGTTGATAGTGGTGTGTTGAAATCTCCCACTACGTATGTGTTTTCTCTGATGTCTGTTTTCAGAGATGACAATAGTTGTCTGATATATTTTGGTGCTCCTTCGTTTGGTCAATATATGTTAATGAGTGTTATTTCTTCTTGAAGTATTGTCCCCTTGATCATAATGTAGTGACCATTGGGGTCTCTTTTTATCTTTTTGAGTTTGAAATCTGTTTGATCTGATATAAGTATAGCTGTTCCTGCTTTCTTTTTTGGTCCATTTGCTTGTAGAATTGTTTTCCATCCTTTAACTTTGAGTCTGTTTTTTTCTTTTGTAGCTAAATGTGTTTCCTGGACACAGCAGAAGGTTGGGTTTTGTTTCTTAATCCAGCCTGTGACTCTGTGTCTTTTTATTGAAGAGTTTAGTCCATTTACATTTAGAGTTAATATTGATATGTTAGCATCTGTATTTGCCATTGTGTTTGTCTTTCCTTTGATTTTATTTATTTGTTCTTTTAATAACTTTTTTTTTTTTTTGGCCGTCTTTGTTATTCTTCCCTCTGAAGTTCTGGCTTTAGGACTCCTTGTAGTATTTTCTGGAGTGGGGGTTTAGTCATAATGAAATTCCAGAGTTTCTGTTTGTCTGGGAAGGTCCTTATTCTTTCTTCATAGAGGAAGGAGAGCTTTGCGAGATAGAGTATTCTTGGTTGGCATCTGTTTTCTTGGAGTCTGTTGACTATGTCCCTCCACTCTCTCCTTGCCCGTAGTGTTTCTTTGGGGAAGTCTGATGTCAGTCTGATTGGTTTTCTTTTGAATGTTATCTGTTTCTTCCCTCTTGTTAGCTTCATTATTTTTTCCTTGTCCTGGATTCTTGGGAGCTTTACTATTATGTGTGTTGCTGTATTTTTCCTTTCATCATGGAAGTTTGGTGTTCTTCTTGCTTCCTGTGTATCAATTTTCAGCTCCTTCTTCATGTTTGGGAGGTTCTCTTCAATTATTTCCTTGAATATTTTCTCTGTTCCTGCATCTCTCTCCTCTCCTTCTGGTATTCCTATAACTCTTATATTTCCTTTCCTCATGGTGTCAGATAGTTCCCAAAGTCTTTCTTCTGTCTTTTTCCTTCGTACTTCTCCTTCCTTTTCTGTTTTGGTTCTTTTTATTTCTGTGTCTTCAAGAGTACTTATTCATTCTTCCATTTCCTCTATTCTGCTTTCATTGCTTTTCCCAGAGTTCTTTAGTGCCTCCATTAATTCTTTGATCTCCTGCATTTCTTTTACTTCCCTCTTTAGGGACTCAATTTCATTCTTCTGATCGTTGATTATTTTTCCCTTATCATTGTTTTCCTTTACGACTTCTGTCAGTTTTTTAATCACGGCAATTTTCAATTCTCTTTCTGGAAGGCTCAGAAGTTCTTCCAAGTTGCTGTCGTTGCAGTCTGGGGGGTGGTTTTCTTTTTGTGGTGTGCTTTTTTTCCTGAGGAGTTGCTAGGTTGCATGTGGTTCTTCTACTCCCTACTGTCTGTTTTCTAATTTGCCGTATGCTTTGGGACACTGTGTTGCTGGGACTGGCCGGCAACTTGGTGAACTTCTCCGCTCCCCTCTGGCTCTTCCGGGAGTCATGTGTAGGTTTCAAGCAGTCTTTACTGGAGAAAGGTCCCCATTCTAAAATGCCGATGCTGGGACACGCTCCCCTGCGTGCCTGGTCTGCCCTGGCAGTGGGTTCCCGCTCCCCCTCTGGGCTTGGACTGCAGGCCAGAAGGGGCCTGGCCTGGGCGACCTTCCCAGCTCACCTCTGGCTCCCCCACGAGCCTTCTGCAGGTTTCAAGCAGTCTTTACTGAAGAAATGTCCCTGTTCTAAAATGTCAATGCGGGGCGCACTCCCTGCACACCCGGTCTGCTCCGGTGGTGGGTTCCCGCTCCCACTCTGGGCTTGGGCTGCAGGCCAGAAGGGGCCTGGCATGGGTGAACTTCCCAGCTCACCCCTGGCTCTTCCACGAGCCTTCTGCTGATTTCAAGCAGTCTTTACTGAAGAAATGTCCCTGTTCTAAAATGGCGATGTGGGGTGCACTCCCGGTCTGCCCCGGGGGTGGGTTCCTGCTACCCCTCTGGGCCTGGGCTGCAGGCCAGAAGGGGCCTGGCATGGGTGAAATTCCCAGCTCACCTCTGGCTCCTCTGGGAGCCTTCTGCTGGTTTCAAGCAGTCTTTACTGAAGAAATGTCCCTGTTCTAAAATGGCGATGCGGGACGCACTCCCTACGCGCCTGGTCTGACCTGGCGGTCTGGAACAAATAGTTATTAAACAGTATTAAATATATTTCTCTTCGTATATTTCTTTTATATAATCAAGATAATTCTAATAACGTAATGCTTTAACAGAAATAAATGGATGACCTTGTCGTGTTATTTTTAGATAAATAAGAAAAATTTGAACAGATATATAGTGATCCTTTTATAGGAAACTAGGAATTAGGTTTTACAGATGGCTTGCCTTTACAGTTGTATTGACTTGTTATATTCTGATAGAAGAACCAGAGAGTTTTTATAATTTATTGTAGAGATTGACAGCCACACAGCCTGTAGTGTCTTAACTCTCCAGTTGTATCTATGGTATCATGCCAACTAATTCTTCTGATTTTGTGTACAGGCCAGTATGCTCACAGTGTTGCAAAAAGGTAAGCTATGCTTAGTGAAATTATAACTGTTAGTTTTAATAACTATGTCTTTTTAGCAGTACTGCTCATTCTCAGTTTTATTTGGGATAATAGATGCGCCTGCCCTCCAAGCCATATTGCACTCTTCCTATCTTTTCACTGGGACCTTCTACCTTGCAAAGAGGGGAAAGTTGTATGAGGCCAGAAAAACCTTCCACTAGCCACCATCGGCCCCTTCGGAGCATTGCTAGGTAAGTGAGGGGCCTGGGTCTTCAGCGTCTCCTTTGTAAAAGGAAAAAAAATTTTTTTTTTTTTTTTTGAGGACTATCATAGGTGATGGGATTTTGGTTCAAAGAGGATAGGGTGGGAGGAGTGTTGATTGGTTTTAGCTTAGTTGTGACTTGCACACAAATTTCCAAACCTCCCCTAAAGGTAATGTGTAATGGCTAGCTGTCTAAGGATACCTTAATCTCACCATTGTTGTTTTTTTTTTTGTCTGCCTTAGAAATTATTTCTTCATTGTGCCTTTAAAAATTCATCTTTACACTGATCTTGTTTTCAGTGGAGTTGGAAACTTGCACATAACAGGATAATCCTTCCTTCCTTAGTTTTTTTTTTTTTTTTAAAAAAAAAGATTGATTTATTTATACAAGAACCAGGGAACAGGGCAGATGTGCAGGAGGGTGAGAGGATTCACCAGAAACTGAGAGGGGAACAGAACAGGCCGACTGACTAAAATACACTGCTGAGGGTAGCAGCGGGTGAGACAGGAGAGGTCTGTCGCGCCATGTGGGTAGCTTCCCGGTCAGCCCGGATCAAACCTGCACTGCAGAGGCTGCGGACAGCTTCACAGTGCTGCACTCAACCAATTGAGCCACCAGGGAGGCCCCTTCCTTACTTAGTTTTAAAAGAAAATCTGTTTAATCTTGGGTTTACAGCTATCTGCAATAGGTTTGATTTATTTTCCTGTTATAAAGGCAGAAATAAAGCTTTATGTCAAGAGCTAGCAATTTCAAAGAAGAGAAATTGTCCAAATATCGGTCTCTTTGCATTTAATGCAGAGTAAAGTTAGTGCTAAGAAAGATGGAAGGGAAGTCAGCTGGAGTTACAGTTAGCATGGCCACCAGTCACTACCACTCAGCAAAGGGGAAGCTGGCATTGTTGCCAAATGCTATTCTTTGGCTACCTCTGCATATCATGGCTCTATGGATAGTGAGGCAAAGCAGCTCTGAACCTACCAAGTAACTTGTGCCTGAGACTTGGCTGCCTCTGTGCTTTTGATTCTCTGCTCTCAGATACACTGTTCCGTGATGGTCTCTTACTGTGGGTTATCATCTGGGAGTTCAAGGCTGTGTGTGTGTAATTATCTGTTCTTTTCTGTACTTATTCTGAAGCTATTTGGTTTAGTTAAAATAATAAATGAGTAGGTGATTCTTAGTTACCTAAGAAATTACCTAAAATACTTACTATGATGGTGGTCTAGTTAATTCTAGCTCTTGGAAGCCAAAAGACCAGTCACCCAAATATGGAGAACTATTGGGAAGGGCAAGACATATTTAATAAATACTAAATGACAAAGATAATTTTTCTGAATGTGTCATATGATTAAGATAAATTTGCATAATTTTCCTATTGTCTGACCTACCATATACACAGTTAACCAGCATTCACAAATCACAGAGTCAGCAGAGAAAGAACTTTAAGTCCCTACTGAATCATCAGCAGGATGTTAGCAACATATACTTTATTTCATTTCAGTTGCTACCTTTCAATGTCTATATATGTATGGTAATCAGGCAAATATGCTCAATATCCCATTGCCCCAAAAATTCTAGAAGAGATGATAGGAGTTTTCAGTATTACCGTTTCTTCTTTTTTTTTAAAGATTTATTTATTCATGCATACAGTAACTGGGGTACAGACCAGATGCACGGGAGGGTGAGAGGATTCACCAGATACAGAGCAGGGAACAGAACAGGCAGACTGACTGAAATACACTACTGAGGGGAGCAGCGGGCAAGACAGGAGAGGTCTGCTGCAACATGTGGGTATCTCACTGGCCAGCCGGGATCAAACTCGTGCTACAGAGGCTGCGGACAGCTTCACAGCACTGTGCTCAACCGCCTGCGCCACCAGGGGAGGCCCCTATGTTACTCTTTCTTAATAAAAAGTTTCCTGGTTTCCTTATCTCCAATAAGAAATTGTTTTTTGGAAGAATATGCTGTGGTTAAATCACTCCCCCATTCCATAAATTGGGCAACAAATTTACCTTTTTTGTACATATTTTCTTAGTATTTTGGTAAAACTATAACAATACTGGATGTTTCTGTTTTTTTTTCCCCCAGATTTTCCTCAAAATCTAAGTCTGTGGACAAATCAGATGAAGAACTACAATTTCCCAAAGAATTAATGGAGGACTGGAGTGCTATGGAGGTGTGTGTAGACTGCAAAAAGTTTATTTCGGAAATCATCAGCTCAAGCCGGCGTAGCCTGGTGTTGGCCAACAAAAGAGCACGATTGAAAAGGAAGACCCAGTCTTTCTATATGTCCTCAGCAGGCCCCTCGGAATACTGCCCTTCAGAGCGGACTATCAATGAAATCTGAGCCTTGTGCCTTTTGGTTGTTTTTGTGTTCAGAGTCAGGTTTAATGCAGGGGAACACTGAGCTGGACTATCTCTCCTGGCCGTGGATTTAGTTAATAGGCTTGAATTTGCATTAGACCAGGCTTTTCTTGCAACACTTTGTTCCACAGACTGAATGCTGTGTTCATATCAATTGATGATACGTGACCAGTCAGCCAGTAGCTCCTTTGCACTGAGAGACATCAGTCTGAAACTTGCTTTTGTGTGTATGTGGATTTGGAGGCCAGAAACTTTTTCCTTGGTTCCTTACTGTTGCTCAAATAATTTTCTGACCAAGAAAAAAAGCTTCTCATGAGAGAAATGAGCCTAACAAAGGTATCGATGTTAGCACAGTTCTACGCAGTAAGTCATATTGGCACTTCCACCTGACAGTGTTCCTAGCTAATGTACATAGTGAGCAGTACCCCACCAGGCCCCAAACACCTGCAGGCGGGGCAGAACTGTTTATCGTCTCATAGCACAGACTCTAGAAGGATTTGCTACTACTGTCAAACTAATTTTAAATTATTGTTGCTCTGAGATAAAGTATACAGGAGAGACTTCATGCCTATATTCTAGTGTATCTGAATAAGCTGTACACCCACGTGGGTGACCATTTCTAATAAGCTGCTTTGTTTGCCCCAGTGCAGAGGAGCAGTACTCTCTTGAGCAGGTGTCAGGTTTTCATTCCCTCTCTTGAATGTACTATGGTTCCAGTAGTTTTATAATGGACAAAACTAACCATGTTTTGTGAGAGTTTCAGGTCAAAGGAAAGTTAAAAGTTTGTCCAGAAGCTGAGTGTGGTTTGGTTGACTATGTAAAGGGCTGTGACAGCGTTGGGTGCCAGCTATTGATCACATTGTGGAGAATGAGCTGGTGCTCATACATTTTCACCTACATTTTTCATAACTTTATAGTCTAGTCATCTCAACTAAATTAAGCCACAATTTGGTACTTAAGATCTCAAAATGAAATTTATTTATTTTTATAAATGAATTTTAAAAGGAGAAACATTGTCTAGTTCTTTTTAAATTACAAGAAAACCTTCTGATAGATTGCTTTTTGCACATAGTTTTCCTTGTAAACGACTTGAGTAAGTGGCTTCTTGATGAAGGTAAGATTGGAGATTAGCAATGTATACCTGAAATTTCTCAGCTCGTTTGGCCCATACTCTGAGCTGTTTCTTATTATTTTGGTATCTTTGAAATGACCAACCAATCAAATTGCCATTAATATTTGAAATATTAGTTAATGCACATGCACAACAATTTCCTGAAAACTATAGGACACATCTGTAGTCAACACTACAACAGCACCATTTAATAAAAGGCATGGCAGTCACATTTCACGCCACATCAAAAACATTTCTATATAAAATTAACAAAAAATATACCTCAGAACTGCTCTGGTAGTAGTTTTTAATGGATTGAAATTTACAATTTAGTAAATGACTTAATATTACTTTTACTTTCAAAATAAACTTTGCCAATTGCCTAAAATAAATGCATGTTAACGGTTCGTCTGTATTTGCATGTAAAAGTGGGCCACCAGAGAACCCTTATTGATTATGCAATATGTTTAAATTATCTTACAGACTTTTTTTGAGAGCTTTAAACATCATATTGGGTGAATCTCCTTTATAAAATTTTCCAAGGGACTATTTAAATTCTGTACTTCAGATGATTTGGTGACAACCACGCTCTTTAAAGACCCTTGGCTTGAGCCACTAAACACCTACCAGGAAAGGTGCAAGGGAGAGAAAATGGTATTTATATATAGGCCTGGCCTAGGTAGTATGCTTTTTACAGTAATGATTAGTTTACTGTTACTAAAACAAACAGAACCACGAGAATGAGAATTTCATTCACATTCACAAGCACATCTATCTTTGACATATCTTCTTCAGATTTATGATACTGTGTAGGCTGATTTGGATGTTATGATCTCTTACCAAAATATTAGGATATAAATCCTTCAACAGCAATAATGAGGTTTGCCAAGTACATTCAAAGAGGTCAAATAGATGGTATGTCTGAGACAAGTCCCAGAAAGTAGTGTGAGAAAGGGCACATGGCACAGTTAAAATTGTAGAATTCAAATTAGCATCACTTTTGGTGCATTTAACCCTTCCTTATCCATGACATGTACCCAGCATCTCATCTGAGTTAGGTCATTTCCAGAGGGCAATTCACTAACAGCTTATGGGGCATAGTTTTACAATCCTTAGCCTTGTCTGACCTTAGGCCTAGCTTCCTCTACTTACTACTAAACTAACATTCCGTTGCAGTATTCTTTATCCTGGCTCCTGGCTATTCAGTGTTTACTCCTGATCTAACAGTGTTGTTGACTGGAGCCTGAAGTGTCCTCGAGCTCGTGCACACCCTTGGGCATCATCCTTGCACACTCCTCTCCCCAGCTCCCTCCAGGCCCCAATATCATTCCCTTGTCCCATACCTCATAAAGTCACCTGGTTGGGGATCTTTGTTTCCCTCCCCTTAAGTGTCAGAGTAAATAAGAATGCTTGTAAATACTGTAATATATCTATTAATATTTGAAGGGTTTTCATTCAGTGGATAATGGGAATTAACTCTCCCAAGACAAGTAAAAATTTAATCAAATAACTGATATGTACATTGATTTAATAGTCTTACTAGCCTTTCACATTAAACAAGAAGGTTGTTATGTAGTTTTTAAAATGATCATAACTTTGAAGAGATTATGTGATTAGCACCGTGAACTCATACCATGAATTTTTTTATGCTTTTATTTTTCTAACTGTATTAATAAATATAAAACTGGATTTTAGTGTCACATAGAAGACCTGAAAGTTTTAAATTATGTTATTATTTGCTAAAGCAAAATATCAGGTAAACTTATACATGCAAAATTGTTGAAGAGCCATGGAGAAATGTGTACTACTGACTGGACTTTAACCTTGCTTCCAACGCGTATAAAAGTCAAGGTATTGCTGGCATTCAGGGTGACGTGACAGTACTAAACATTTTCCATTGAAGTCTTTTATTTTAAAGTTTATCTAGGGAAAAATAAAATGGCTTTCCATTCTACCTTTTGTGTTGAATTCCTATTACAAGATGGTGTTGTTGTTTGGTATCTAGCTATTGAGAACTACCTAGGTTGGGAAGGCAAGATATTTTTATCACTAGCAAGTTATGATCACTTTGAGAACTACCATCTGACAAGGACCACACTGGAAGAAGGAATAGAAATGGAGCCACCACTTAACTCTGCTGTGTTGCCAAGCAACTGTGATGCCTTTTTTAAATCTCAACAGAGTAGGAAATTCAAATTCTATAAAAAGCACATAGCATTTTATTATATAAAAAGTCACATGTATGGGCACAAATTAGTATAAGAGAAAGCTTATTTTTTCTAACTAGAGTTCCTCAAGAGATACATACATTTTTTTCATTCAGCAAACATTTATTAAATATCAGTTTTGACCCAAAAAAACCAACCATTGTGTATCAATGGAAAAGAGACATAATTTTTTTTTTAAGATTTATTTATGCATACAAGAGCTGGGGAACAAGCCAGAGATGCGGGGGGTGAGAAGATTCACCAGAAACAGAGTGGGGAACAGAACAGGCAGATTAACTGAAGTACACTGCTGAGGGGAGCAGCAGACGAGTCAGGAGAGGTCTGCCGTGCCATGTGGGTTGCTTCCTGGCCAGCCAGGGATCGAACTCGTGCTGCAGAAGCTGTGGATTTCTTCATAGTGCAGTGCTTAACCCCTTGCACCACCAGGGAGGCCCCCGAGACATAATTTCTTAAGGAACATACTTGTAAAGGGAATGGGAGGATATAGAAGACATTAAAATCCAGGCCATTCTAATGAAATGTGGCAAAAGCAGGGAGGAGTGTGTGTAGCATTGCTAAAAGAACCCTAACATGTATGGCCTAGGCTTCCTGAAGGGAAGCTGTGTTCTTGGACCTTATTCCAGTGGGAGTGGAGAGACTTCCCTCCACCAACAAGCAATTTTAGACACCAGCAGGGGGTTGAGAACGCAGCTCAGTTTTGACACTGTCTACCTGGACATAAGTCGGGTTCCACAGGTTATGGGCTCATTCTCCCAAGAATATCCTCTGTGTTAGGTATTAGCTACAAGTCCCAGGCTGTTACCTGTGCTTCTGGCCAGCCTGCTACAGACTGGAGGTTCCCATGACCCCATCCTCAGACCTCAGCTGCCCATCGCAAGCCCAGATAATCTGCGCTTCCGATGGGCTGGCTGTCCATCAGTTTCCCATGACCCCCCTCCACAGGAAGTCAAGAAACCTGTTTACTCACTAGATCACTAATGTGTTGCAAAGGATATTAAAGAGAAACAGGTGCTTCTGGCCTCATTGCAGTCCTTCAAGGAAGCACGTGAAAGGGCTGTTTTCCCAGCCTGGAAGCTCTCTCAAAGGACATATTCTTAAAATATACCATGATAAGAACACGTCTTATATCCCTTAAAGGCATAAATAAAATTAGGAAGATTAAATCATACTGAATTTAGGAAGTTCTTATGTTTTTAGAGCATCACTGGCCCTTTGCATAATTTATACATGTGATAGTTGAGTTTGATCTCAGTTATACAAGTTAGTCCCTTATTTGCCAAATATGATTTTGGGATCTTCTTCCTGAATTGTGTTTAACAAGACATTGATATGTGTGGCCTTGTATTTCAAATGGTCATTGACTCTCTCTAAGGGCAGGAAGGGCACTGAGCAGGTTTTGTACGATCCGAGCAGACAGTAAAGGAGGAGAGAGTCCTGGAGCCCTCAGTGGCTTTTCAGGCTTTTATTGGGATTTACCAGGTACACAGCAAGCAGGGGTACTGAGAGGCCGGGAGGCTGGCAGGTCTCCCAGCCCCCAGCAAGTCCTCACTCTGTCTGGGCTCTCCGGCATTCTCGCGTTCTCTCTGCTTCTCTACTTCCTTGGTTCTTCCGTTTGTTCTCTGCTCTTCTTGTGGTTCTTCTTCTCTCTCAGCTTCCACTGGCGTCCCTGTGACGCCGCCCTTAAAAGCCCAGTCTTAGCCCAGGTGAATCCCATCTACCTATGCCCACACCCTACTCCAGGTGCCCGCCATCAGGCATGCATTCGGGACCACAGGGTTCCATCATCTGTCCTAGTGGTGGGAGGGCAGAAAAGCCTGATACTTTCACCTTACCCTACTATAACAGTAGGAATGGACACAGGGCAGGTTTTCTAGGATCCAGCAGACCGGGTAAAGGAGGAGTCAGAGCCCTCAGGGGTTTTGCAGGTCTTTTATTGGGGTTCACCAGGCATATGGCAGGCAGGGGTGCGGGGGGCCGGGAGGCTGGCAGGCCTCCCAGCCCCCAGCAGGTCTTCACTGTGGGCTCTCCGGCTTTCTCTCGGCTTCTGCTTCTCTTGCTTCTCTTGGCTTCTCTTTTGGCTTCTCCTCGGCTTCTACTGGCGTCCCCGTAACGCCACTCTTAAAAAAAGCACAGTCTTAGCCCAGGTGAATCTCATCTACCTATGCCCACACCCTACTCCAGGTGCCTGCCATCAGGCATGCATTCAGGTCCTCAAGGATCCATCATCTATCCTGATGGCAGGAGGGCAGAAAAGCCTGACATTTTTTCCTTACCCTACACCTACACTCTCTAAGTCCAAGTCCTTGACTTGTGCCTCGTGAGATACGGAAAATTCAGATGCCAAAAAGGAGATAAAGTTTTGGGTAACCATAATTTAACAACATCTGTTTTCCAGCTCCCTATGAGAAAAAAAAATCATATCTATATAAATACATAGTTGTAAATCATCATAGTTAAGAATTTCCCATAAAGAAAACTATTTTTTGGAAAAGGCTTAATAGCATTTACCATGTGTTTCAAGACTTCAGCTCTGTGATCTCTGCAGAATGTGTGTGCGCATGTGCACCCAGGAATGTGCACACACACAAGTTCATTATAATGCTCACAAAGGGTAATGCTCCGTCTTCCCTCATATCAGCCAAAGACCATCATCTAGAAACACCTGCCATTGCTCGCCCAAAAAGTTTTAAGATTGAAGAACTAACTATGCCTGCACTAATTAAATGTTCCAGTGCAATTACTTGGCAGACTGAATTTGCACTGTAATTCTGGCTCATTCCACTTTTTAAAAAAAGTGTGACATATAATTTATGTATTTAGAATAGATTCTACTGTGCAAAACATTCTGTAACTGTTTCTGCTGTTGGATTCTGAGACTGATGGCAAAATCTGAGCCCCTTGAATAGTATTGAAGCAAAAAGAATTTAGAAGTGACAGGACAATGCTTTTCAAAAGTGAGTCCTTGAAAAGTGGGACATCAAGACAGTCAAGTCACTACAGCTTAAGAGCTAAAGAATCATCTTAATATTTGAACCTATGCTGTATTTGACACAACTCAGTGTTAAGATTTCTTTTGTCACCCAGAGAGCTGACACTGAGTCCTCAACTAGGTGTGCTGTTACTAACTGTGCTAGTGAATGTGGTCCCCTGTGAATTGATGAAAAAGGGGACTCCCTTGTCTGTAACTGTCAAGGAGCAAGCTTGCTCACTTTAAGTTTTCCCTTTCATGTATTCATCTTTGCTTTGGCATTCCTTTCTCACTGCAGGAATCCCCTGTTCCTTGGCCTACCTCTTCCCAGTATCTGATACACTGAGTACTCAGTAACTGGTAGCCATTACTGGTTACTGAAATTGGCAAAATATTAAAAAATATTAATTGTAGTACATAAGTGTCTGGAATGTTTAATATCATAAAACTATATTTTTCCTTGTTTTCTATTATTGACCAAATTGTCTTAATGACACATTTGAGACAGTTTTATTTCAGCCTCATTGCCACATAAATCCTAATCTAGATGTTATGATTACTGTTAAGAGTTATATACCATACTGTAAAAGAGGCTAGTAGTAAAGAGTTAATATGTACAAAATCAGTGCTGATAAATATATGCTTTGAATTTATGGAGCAGCTTTGATTACAGGCCTCCATGGTCTCTAGCTGCACGTCAGTTAATGGAAAAAAGCTAGGTCAGGGAGGCAGGGCTGCGCATGGTCACTCCACTGAGGAGCTTCCCAACTGGAAGAGAGCTCAAGCGAGGAACTTGGTGAGCAGTACTTATTTGCAGATGTGAGGTAGGAAACCCAGACTGAGAGCTCTAAGTCAAGCACGTTAATGGCATGAGCAGCTGATTGAAGCTTCTCTATTCCATTCAGCTGCTTGAGGGCTATGGTAGAGCACAGATACCACAATACACTCAATTGGTTTAAAAGATATCTTGATGCTATTTCTTACATTCTCATTCCATATTGAACCTGCTTATTCATTCAATTCCCCCCATGTTTACTGAATACCTGTTACAAGCCAGAAATTTTTCCAGAAACGGGATATGGCAGCAAAAGAAATCTGACGAAGATCCCTGTCTTCATGGAATAATATAGAAGAATGTTAGGTGCCAAGTCCAACAGAGAAAAAGAAAATGCAGAAGGGAGTAGGGAGGAGTAGGAACTTTTGAAAGGGGACATGAGAAAAGGCTATTTCAGGCAGCTACTTGAAAGGGAGAGTAGGCACAGAGCTACATGGGGCAGAACCAGGGAGGGAGGAAGTAGATAATTGGAGCAAATTACATGAGAGCTGAACTTCCCAAATATCAGACCTGTTCAAAGATGGAGCTTCACAGGTACTGTCTCTTGCATGGTACTGGATGCTCGAACAGAGCCAAGAGCTTGAAGTTGGCTGGAGGATGGGCTGAATGTTTTCTTGGATCATTTTCAGCTCTAAAAATCAATGTTAGAGGTCAGATTTGAAGAGACCTCAGGCAGTGATGGAGTCTATGCACTGAGGGCCGGAGACAAGCTTCTTGGCTGGGGATCCCATTATTGCAACAGAAGACATATATATTGGGGGTTCCCGGTAACTGGAAGGGCTGCAGGGAGGAGCCTGGGGCCCCCATGGGGCAGCTGCAGGCAGTAGAGAGACCCACGGAGTCCTCGGCCCTCATGGTGGGTTCCCCACAGAGTCTACCCCACAGTGCTGCTGCAGGCCACCCCCACCCTCTTCTATGTTGTTATACATGGCCCTGCACAAAGGGTACTGGATGCAGAGTGCCCCTGGCCCACTGAGGCCAGCTCTGCCTGTGGCTCTTTGGAGACCACCAGCTTATGAGCCTGCACTGAGCTCAGAGCAGATGAGGTCTGTGCAGAAACCAAGTTTTCCTTTTTATATTTGGTACCTGGATCACAGAATAGATCAATTAGGTGTGAGCTAAATGAACCAATCAGGCTCAATCAGCTTATTCATTAATTATTTGGATCAAAAATCAATGATGGGCTGATTGGTCCTAATGATCCAACCAGTCATTAAGAATTGAAAATGGTCCAATCAGGCTTGCAGGATGGGGGACCCAAAAAAGAAGATAAAAGCAGGGCAGGAGCCAGCTTACACACTCTGTTCCTGGCCTCTGAAAAAGAAAGAAGGATCAGAAGCCGACCTCCAAAGAACAAAAGAGAAACTGAAGACTTTTTCAGACTAGGCTGCTGAACCTGCCTCTGACATCACCTGAAAGGAGCACCAAAGGCCCAGACCTGGCGTCTCAAAGAGCTGTTTGTTGACAACTCACAAAAAGCTGTCAACTGGTGTCTCTGACACTGACTCCTGGTGACCAGTGGTGACCAGTATTACTGGCCAGTGCTGTCTAGTACTGGTGACTGGCACTGTGTAGACATCTGGGTCACCTTTGAGAGGTGTCTACCACTTCTGATGATCTGGAACTGCCTCCCCATTCCTTTGCCTCTGTTGCTGTCTGGTCCAGAGTCCAGTGCTGTCTATTTTGACCTTCATTTCACCTCATGCAATTTGCCACCACCTGCCCTGAGCAAACTGTCCTCTAACAACTGGAAACACAAGCATAGAACCTGATGAAAAGTCAAGACTCAAGAAAATGCATACATTGTGCAAAGATGAAAAATGATGTAAGAATTATATAAAATATTAAAAAAAGGGAATCCACATCAGTACTAACTCAGTACTCAATGATCTCTTAATATTCGTCTCTTTAACTGTTCATAGTTAACTCTTAACTAGTGATTATAAAAGTTTGTGATTTTTTTTAACCCTCCCCCTCTAAAAGCATATGCTCCATCAGTGCAGCCTAGTATCCTCCAGGTCAGCTCTGCCCAGTTGGGGTCCACAGTCCAGCAGCAGCAGAACTGCTGTGACCACTGTAAGGTGGGACATTTCAGTGCTGGCAGGTCCCCACTCCTGCCCTGCTGGAAGGTCAGTGTACCTAGGCCCAGGAACTCCTGTCTAACTGCCAATCATCAGAGACCCTCTCAGGCTAATGGCCTGAACTCTGGTGTCAGCGGCTCCCAGGGACACCCTAGGCTCTCAACTTTAAAGCAGTGCTGGAGTACTCTGCAACAGCTTTCTTTAAAAAAAAAAAAAAATGAATACGTATTTTACATCATTGTTCTTTTTTTTAAAGATGTATTTATTTATGCATACAAGAACTGGGGTACAGCTCAGAGGTGCAGGGTGCTGGTGGTGAGAGGAGTCACCAGAGACAGAGTGGGGACCAGAACAGGCAGACTGACCAAAGTACACTGCTGAGGGGAGCAGCGGGTGAGACAGGAGAGGTCTGCTGCGCCATATGGGTAGCTCCCTGGCCCCAGGGATCGAACTCCTGCTGCAGTGGCTGCTGATAGCTTCAGAGTGCTGAGACTTAACCCCTTGTGCTACCAGGGAGGACCATCATTATTCATTTTTGTACAGTGTTTGCTTTCTCCTCTCAGGTGTAGTCCCCATGAAATTCCCATCACCAATCCACCCATGCGCCATCACCATAGTCCCTGTGCTCTTCCCTCCTCTGTTTTGATCCCTCTCCCTCCTCCTCCCCTGCAGAATGTCTCTGATTTATAGCTGACTGTTAATTTTGGCTTTTATTTTTTTCCTAACCCCTTATTTGGGTCCCCTGTGTTCCTCCTGTGAGTGAAGCAGCATTCTTTCAGAGAAAGCCCCCAGAGCACCTTGGGTCTTTGATCGCAGCAAACAAGTAACTTTTATTTGAATACTGGGAGGTGATCAAGTATAATAAAGTCATTTTCTTTTTCACTCTGACATTTTGGCTTCTGGGATGGGGTATCAAAGAATGACATTGACTTGTTTAGTAAACAAAACTTTTTCACACACACACACATACGCACACACACGCAAAAACAACTAAAGGCAAGCTGTAGGCCACGCTGTGGCACCACCACTCCCCTTTTAGAGTGCCTTCCCCACACGTCTGCACACAGGCAGGCAACACAAACGTTCCTTCCACCGCCCAGGAGCGCGGGGCGAGCGCGCAGCGCAGGCCGGGGTGGGTGCGGGTCCCGCGGCGGCTCCTCCACGTGTCTGCGCGTCCCGCGTCCGGGCTCCGCCGCGCTCAGGCTGGGAGGCCCTCCAGCTCCGCGCCCAGCCGGCCGATCACCCACTCCAAGGCCTCTCGACCCTGCGGAGAGAGACCGGCATTGAGGGGCTCGGGGAACGTGTCCGCGCCTGCTCGGGAGAGACGAAGGTCTGTGTTCACCGCTTCTGCCAAAGCGCAGCGCCCCACCGCAAGCCCGCGCAGCGCCGCGCTTTCCAAATCAGGAGTCAGGGGGAGATTTCCACGGCTGTCGGCACCCAGCTTCAAGAGAGAACACCATACCTTTCCGTCTGTGGTAGAGTCAACTCCAGAACAAGCAGCTGTACAAAGAAATGTTGAATCCATTTCCAGACCAGAACAAGAGCGAGACATAGAAACTACTGCTCACGAAACAAATTGTGAAAACAATCTCTGTTACTTTCTTAAATGGCTGAACACCTCAAGAAAAAAATGTTTTATTTATTCAGAATGAAAACCACAGGAAATAAAAAAAAACACACAATACAGTTATGTGCTTATTTTGATTCCGTTACCCAAAATTTGAAGTGATTAAATAACTGACATTCAGAACTGTTCTTGCTCTAAAAATGCAATTTTCCCCAAAAAATACACCAGGACCCCTGCACACCCTCGCCATAGAGAGGGTTCCAGAGATACTGCCTTTCCTGACGCTCTCTCCAATCTTGCCTCAAAAATATGGTTTTCAAAATCACAAACTTCCAAATTTCCTTCTAGAACAGATCTCCCTGATTTTTAGATCACTACCTCTGTGAGGTCATACCGAGTTGCCTGAGAGAGTTATCCACAACTTGATTAAGAGGCTGTCCCTGGAGAGGGCACTGGGAGATGCAGGTCATTGAGGGGCAGGCTGTGATCCAAGTAGTTCTTCCTGCACTTGCTGCCCTACCAAATCCAGGGATTGTCTGCAGTGGCTCTCCGGTCCTTAGGAATCAAGACCTCAGTGCCATACGAGCAGTCCCAAGAGGGAACTCTTCAAGTTAATGTTACTTAACAGCAGAAAAAAGACAGACACAAAACACTATGCACAGTATGATCCCATCAGTGTTTAATGAAAGAAAGAAAAGAGAAACCCATACACATCACTGCATATGCGGAAAACATTTCTGGCTTCCCCAAACTCAGGAGCCAATTGGCAGCAGCCACTCACTCTTCCTCCATAGGGGACCACAGACGAGCCGGCACTTTATTTTTAGCCATAAACGTGGAGGGCTTTAATGTATTTTTTTAGATGAATACAGTTTATAAAAGCAAACAGAACTTCAAGGTGGTAGGAAAAAGAGCTTTTACCCTTGCCTTAGAGATGTCCACATGAGAAAAAACAGAAACAGGGCCTCCCTAGTGGTGCAGGGGTTAAAGTCTCAGTGCTATCACGCTATCACCAGCCACTGAGGCATGAGTTTGATCCCCAGGCAGGGACTAAGCCACATGGCACAGCAGACCTCTCCTGACTTGCCGGCTGCTCCCCTCAGCAGTGGATTTCAATCAATCCGCCTGTTCTGCTTCCCACTCTGTCTCTGGTGAATCCTCTCACCCTCCCTACCCCTGCACCTCTGGCCTGCACCCCTGCTCTTTTATGCATAAATAAAAATAAATCTTTTTTTTAAAAAAAAACAGAAACACAGACTTCAGAAACTCTGCATTCTCACTGCCCTCTACATGGAGCTGGAATGCAGAGCCTGTGACAGAGCAGAGGGAGTGGACACAAGCCACTCAGAGCTGGCTGACCAAAGAGGATGACATGCAGGGGACTGGGACAGGCTGGAGGGGGTATTTTGAAAGCATGGGCCACCGGACTTGTGAATCACTCGAGAGAGAAGATAGTTCAGAGTCAAGGAGAAGTCCTTACACTGAAGGCCAGCAGTCAGGGAGACTTACCCCACCCCACACCCTGGCTTGGCTTCGGTGTCAGCAAGAATAGACATCTGAGGAAAACCTCCAGTGCCCAGGGACACAGGGGAGACACAAAAGAACACTTCACTCATATTTATCTCTGCAGAGAAAGGAAGGAAGACACTGTGTCCATGAAGCAAGAACAGGACACTCTAATGAACAGGAAAGATTTTCAAATTAAAAATATAACTTGCCAAAATAAAAATAAGTGAAAGGCTTGGAAGACTAGGTCAGGAAATATCCTGAAGGTAGAAAAAAAGAAGAGAGAAAATATAAGAAAATTATAAGATCAATCCAGGAAGTTTAACATGTGACTATTTGGATTTCCAGAAAAAGAGAAGAGAAATGGTAGGGAAATTATTAAAGAAATCTTTATCAGCGCCAAAGGAATCACCAGTTTTCTAACATAATAAATTTGGAAGCAATGCCTTGCTGTCCTGATCTCAGCTATCTGTAGGTAGATATGCGTGTATCTATTGGTTTTTAAATATATATTTATATTTCCTTTTTGACTGAGCTGAAATTCACATAAGTTAACCATCTTAAAATATACAATTCAGTGGCATTTAGTACATTTACTAAGTTGGGCAACCACCACCTCTAGCTAATTCCAAAACATTTTCATCACCCCAAAAAGAATCCCCTTTACCCATTATACAGATTCTTTCCCATTAACCTCATTGATTGACAATACCTCATATTGATGGGCAATAATCAATATGCTTTCTGTCTATCTCAATTTACCTATTATAAGCCCAAAAACGAAGTCTTAGAACCTGTGGTCTTTTTTTATCTGGCTTCTTTTACTTGGCATAATGTTTTAGAGACTCATCCACACATTACAGCATGTCAGTAGATCATTCCTTTTTATCACTGAATAGTATTTCATAGTATGAATATACTACATTTGTTTAGTGATTCATCAGTTGAAGGACATTTGAGTTGTTTCCACCTTCGCACTACTGTGAATATTGCAGAATTCACTACTGTGAATACTGCAATGAACACTTATGTACAGGTATTTGAGTACTAGTTTTCAGTACTTTGAGCTATATTACAAGCAGTGGAACGGATTCATCATTTTAAATTCCCACCAGCATGTTCCAAAGATGTTTGGAAAAAAAACATTTTCCCACATCTCTGCCCTCTGCTATTTTCCATTCAGTTATTATGACAATCTGAGTGGTTATCATGGGTTTGATTTGCAGTTCCTTAATGACTAGTGACAATGAGCATCTTTTCATGTGCTCATTGGTCATTTCCATATCTTATCTTGAGAAATGTTTGTTCATACCCTTTGTCCACTTTAAAACTGGGTTGTTTGTCTTTCTGCGTGGCAGACAAAAATTCACCACTGAATCACCAATGCACTTGTGTTTCTGTTGTTGAAAGTGTTCTTCATATATTCTAGATAATAAACCCTTATCAGATATATGCTTTGCAAATTTTTCTCCCATTCTGTAGGCTCTTTTTCACCTTCTTTTTTTTAAAGATTTATTTTATTTATACAAGAACTGGGGTACAGGCCAGATGTGCGGGAGGGTGAGAGGATTCACCAGAGACAGAGCGGGGAACAGAACAGGCAGACTGACAAAATACACTGCTGAGGGGAGCAGCGGGCGAGACAAGAGAGGTCTGCTCGCCATGTGGGTTGCTCCAAGGCTGGCGGAGATTGAACTGGCACCGTAGAGGCTGCGGACAGCTTCACAGTGCTGTGCTCAACCGCCTGCGCCACCAGAGAGGCCCTCTTTTTCACCTTCTTGATAGTGTCCTTTGATACACAAAAGTTTATAATTTTGATGAGGTCCAATTTGTCTATTTTTTCTTTTGTTACTCCTGCTTTTGTTGTCACTTGTAAGAATCCATTGCCAAATCCAAGATCATAAGTATTTATCCCTATATTTCTTGTAAGAGTTTTCTATTTTTCACTCCTACATTTAAGTCTTTAATGAATATTGAGTTATGATATTAGGTAATGTACATGATATTAGGTAATGATCCAACTTTATTTTTTTCTATTTAGATATCCAGCTGTCCCAACACCATTTGTTGTAGAGACTATACTTCCCTCATTGGTTTTGTCTCCCTGTTGAGTATCAATTAGCATAGATACACAGGCTTATTTCTAAACTCTCAGTTCTATTCCATTGACCTATATGTTTATTCTTATGCCAGCCCCACCTAGTTTTGATTACTGTAGCTTTGTAAGAAGTTTTGAAATTGGGAAGTGAGCCCTTCAACTTTATTCCTTTTCAATATTGTTTTGTTTTCAATATTGTTTTGTTTCAATATTGTTTTGTTTATTCAGTCTTGAAACTGAGGACTGGCTTTTTCATTTCTGAAAAAAAGAAACAAAACTGTAGGAATTATGATAGGGATAACACTGATTTTGTAGATTGCTTTGGGTAGTATTGCTACCTTAATGTTTTATCTTACAATCCATGTACATGGATGTCTTTCCATTTATTAAATCTTCTTTAATTTTTTCAGCAATGTGTTGTAATTTTCAGCATACAAATCCTTCACCTGTTCATTTTAATTTATTCCTATGTATTTTCTTCTTTTTTAAAAAAATATTAATTTATTTATGCATACAAACTGGGATACTGGCCAGAGGTGCAGAGGATGAGAGAACTCACCAGAGACAGAATGGGGAGCAGGACAGACTGACTGAAATACACTGCTGAGGGGAGCAGCAGGCGAGCCAGGAGAGGTCTGCTGTGCCATGTGGGTTGCTCCTTGGCAGGCTGGGGATTGAACTCCTGCTGCAGAGGCTGCAGATAGCTTCATAGTGCTGTGCTTAGCCAACCCCTTGCACCGCCAGGGAGACCCTCTATGTACTTTATTCTTTTGGGTGCAATTATAAACTGGATTTTCCCCTTAATTTCATTTTCACAGTGCTCATGGATAATGTAAAGTTGACTGTTTTATGATGACCTCTTACTCTGTAATTTTGCCAAATCCTTTTATAGTTTTCTTGAGATTTTCTATGTATAGGCTCATGTCATCTGTAAATAGATGTACTTTCACTTCTTCCTTTTCAATATGAATGCATAATATTTCTGTTTCTCAACTAACTGCTCTCGCCAGAACTTCCAGTACAGTGTTGCACAGCTGTGATGAAAGTGGGCATCTTTAATTTGTTCTTGCTCCTAGAGGGAAAGATTTCAGTC